GGCTCAGCTGCATGGGGTAGGCAGTGGCAGCGCTTGGAGGGGTGGCTGTGGGGGGGGCTAAAGCAGATTTTGGGGTGGCTATAACCCCCCAAGCTCCCTCTGGTGCCACCCCTGATTGGGGCACTCTGCTACCATTCCCTCAGGAGCCCCACACTGCGGGGCCGGCAGGGGACATGTGGCTGGCATAGGGCTTCCGAGGGAAAGACTGGAGAGTGAAGTGCCCCGAGCAGGGGCAGCACTGAGGGGTTTTGGGGGACTAAGTCCACCCCAAAATCTGCTTTAGTCCCTCCCCCCATAGCCACTTCTCCCAGCACCACTACCACCCCCACCCTGTGCAGCTGAACCCACCTTGCTCCTGCCCACTCCAATCCCAGCCTTGGGCCAATCCAGTTAGTGGGACACAGGCCTGGGAGCAGGGCAGAGCCACGGGGGGCTCGTCCAGGGGGCATGTGGGGTGGGGTGGGGAGGGACGGATGGCTCCCCACTGCTGCATGCACCCCCAGGGGGGACATGTACACTTCCCCTGGATTTGTGCACCAGGAAGAGCCTGGTGCCACCCCTGGCCCTGAGCCCACAGCAGGGAGCCCACCTCCATTGCATGCACAAATCTGGTGGGGACACATGCCCCCCACATGCTTTCCCTGGGGGTGCACTCAGCAGCAGGGAGCTGCAGCCCCTCCTCAGCCTCGCCACACCCCCTGGACAAGCTGCCCTTGGCTCTGTCCTGTGCCCCTTTCTGGAGTGCCATTGACCACCCTGGCTGGGCAGTGCCTGCCCCTGCCCCACTCTCTCCTTCACTGTGGGGGCCTTCATTTGCCCCCCTCCCCCATGTCTGTTCCCTCCCCCATGCCCCTTCCCTTCCACAGACTTACCTGCAGGGCGCTGCTCTCCAAGCTGCCCAGCTGTATTCCTGTAAATCAGCTATTGAATCAGTATTGGCCAATATGGCTGGTTAATAAATAATCAGCTGTCAGTATTGGCCAAGAAAATCTTGATCAGTGCACCCCTAAAGAATACCAACTTGTCATTTGAAATCTACCAGATGTGTATCACTTTGTTAAGGAGTTTGATCATTGTTAATATGTGTAGTATTTGAACAAGTTACTGTGAGAAATGGAATATGAAACCCATAAAAATCCCATAGAACTTTTAAGTTGAAGTATATGAGAAGATTTTGCTTACAAATGAGCTACGGGACCGGATGACTCAAGAGATTGATATTGGCCAATGCAACCTATCAGTTCTTGGTAATAAACTTGATGTCACGTTACGACAGCTGCTACAAGTAATCTTCCTTTTCATTCTGTAAAATAGTAGCATTGCCATACTTCAAAGATACCTATTCCTGCTCCAAGTTTATCTGTTCAATCCATTCCTGTGGCTTTATATATCAAAAATGTCTTTTACTTATTACCATGGATTCTGAGTGCTCATTGTCAAGAGAGAGAGAAAAACATCTCCTGTTGTACTGTCTGGTCTCTGAGCTTGTACATGTATGCACAAAGGCATTTTAAAATCAAACCAGTCTTTCAACAGGGCTATCATTGGAAGCACAATATATTCTCTGGTTCTTATTGTTTCCTATTAATTGGATTCCCAAGACCCATTATTTTTAGTTAATAAGATGTCTCTATCTCTTGTTTAAAAGCTACTTGCACGACTGGAGGGCAGAAGTTCTCTGAGAAATCTTGAGCCTTATCTGTTTGCTGATGAAGGATTTCCCATTCATGGTAAAATATATCTTTCTCTTATCTTTAAGAAATACTGCAGTAAAAAGTGAAGTGAGTTTTGGGGGAAAGTGTTGTCTATTGGATTACCTTGAGCATGCAAATAGATATAAAATCCTAAATTCAGAGAAAACAGTTTTAATACTTAGGCTTCTGTAAACATCTGATTTAGTATATTCTGATATTAGGTTAAGAAACTAGCTAGTTGACAAGTCTCCAGATGTAATTGTAGATGGCCCATCATCAGGTAGATGTGCTTCTCGTGGGGTCTTGCAGAGATTGATTCTTGCACCAATGATTTAACATTTTTATAAAGCCTGGATGAAGCATAAAATCATCATGAATAAAGTTGACAGATCACTCAACTATTAGGAGTTAGTAAAGAGGACAGGCCAATAATATTGAATATTTGGAATAGCTTGGCAAGCTGGGCACAAGTAATATGTGTGTTTAATACAGCTAGATGTAAGGTTATACATCTAGGGATAAAGGATGCAGACTGTACTTAGAAGGTGGGCATCTGTCCTGAGAAACAGTGATTCCAAAAAGGATGGAGGTCAAAGGGGACACTTAGCTGAACTTGAGGTCATTCTGTGACACTGTGCTCAAAAGGGTTAGTATGGTGTTTGGGTGGATAAACTGGAATTTTGTGTCCAGGTAGACAAATTGGGTTACTTCTGTGTTTGTCATGGGTGTAACTGCTCTTCAAATAGTGTGTCCAGTCCACAGTTCAAGCAGGACGTTGATAAACTGGAGAGGGTCGAGAGAGGAATTAGAGAAGATCCATAAGGATGATTAAACGGTTGGAAAATCATGCATCAGAATGAAAAACTTATGGTGAACAATATGCTTAGGTTTTTCAAAAGAAAGTTAAGGGGTAAATTTATTGTGGTCTAGAAATACCCATTTGGGAATCAGAAATTTGACAATACAGCAAAAGCCGTGTTATCCAGCCCTTTAGCAACTGGAAAGCTCCACTAACCAGCATCTGTCAATACACATCTTCCTTCTGAGGGACGTGGCAAAAGCAAAACCAGAAGTCCCGCTTTGGTTGGTGTCTGCAAAGAGAGAAGCATTTGAAATGTAAATATTTGCAGATGCTGTATTAACAGCAATTTCATGACTTAAAGCCCTGGTGCACCAAACGTGGCATATTTGATTAACCGGCATCCCCCATTCCTGGGGGGTGCCAGATAACAGAGCTTTTACTGTATAAATAGCCCATCAGTAAGGTGTAACAAGATGAAGCTAGGCATACAGACTAAAGGTGCAAGTTTTTAATAGTGAGGGTAATTAATTATTGGGACAATTTGCCAAGGATTATGATAGATTCTTCATCACTTGAAATGTTTAAATTGAGATTGAGTGTTTTTATAAAACACATCTTCCAGTTCAAACAGAAACTAATTCAGGAAAGTTTTCTGGCCTGTGTTATGCCAGAGATTGGTACAGGTGATCACAGTAGTCTTTTTTGATTATATAATCCAGTGGTTGTCAACTGGGGGTACGCATATCCCTGGGGGTACTTTGAAAGGTCTCAGGGGATATGTGGGGGCGAGCGGGGATGGAGCACCGCCACCCCGCACTGCTGCCTCATAGGAGCACGGCTGGGGTAGGGGCGAGGGAAGGGCCGCACAGATGCTGCACTGCCGCCGCTCCACCACTCTCCACGCCCCCACTCAGCATCCGACTGCTTGCCACCCTCCCCACTCCCAGGGGTGCACTTATTAAAAAGGGGGCTGCCAGGGGTACAGCTAGTAAAAAAAAGGTTGAAAGCCCCGATATACTCTATGAAAAAAAAACACTTGCCAATTTGAAGGCCACTGTCTGAAAAAGCAGCAGTGTAATTGAATGGCAAATGGAAAAAATACTAGCAGTGAGAAACCACTGCTATGTGTATATTTGACGCTTTTCACATAAAACCAGAGAAGCTGTTGTGCTACTCTAGCTCTGGTGTGTCTATGTACAGCTCTAATTCCTATACATTATTGTGATTTTTAGAAGAATTGACAAATGACCAAAATTGACAATAACATCAAGATAATTGGGAGGAAGCTGAGGGAGCTGTATCATAATAAAGGCAATTATTATGGGGTCACATGTATCCTATTTCATAAAATTTAGGAACATGCTAAGTGTCTGGCAGTATGTAATCCTTGTTCAGGGGAACATGACACAACAAAGGTGGTAGGTGGTTACGGCAAAGTAAGATCATGTGGAGGGTAGAATATAGTACGATGGAATAATTTCATAGTTGGTAGGGTCAGAAGGGACCTGAGCAGATCATCAAGTCCGACTCCCTGCCATGGCAGGAAAGAGTACTGGGGTCAAACGACCCCAGCAAGGTGTTCATCCAGCCTCTTCTTAAAGACCCCCAGGGTAGGAGCCAGCACCACTTCTCTTGCAAGTTGGTTCCAGATCCTAGCCGCCCTGACCGTGAAGTAGCGCCTCCTGATATCTAGCCTGAATCTACCCTTTGCCAGCTTGTGACCGTTATTTCTTGTCACTCCTGGTAGTGCTGGGGGAAACAGGGTCCCTCCCAATGCCTGCTGGTCCCCCCTGACTAGTTTGTAAATGGCCACAAGATCCCCCCTCAGCCTTCTCTTGTGGAGGCTGAACAGGTTCAGGTCCCGTAGCCTCTCCTCGTAGGGCCTACCCTGCTGTCCCCTGATCATGCGAGTGGCCCTCCTCTGGACCCTCTCTATGCTGTCCACATCCCTCTTGAAGTGCGGCGCCCAGAACTGGACGCAGTACTCCAACTGCGGCCTGACCAGTGCCGCAAAAAGGGGGAGGATCACCTCTCTGGACCTGCTCGAGATGCATCTGTGGATGCATGACAAGGTACGGTTGGCCTTCCTAACTGCCTCCCCACACTGCCGACCCATGTTCATCTTGGAGTCAATGATGACTCCAAGATCCTTTTCCGCCTCTGTGCTGACAAGAGGGGAGTTCCCCAACCTGTAGGTATGGTGCCGGTTGTTCCTCCCCAGGTGCATCACCTTGCACTTGTCTGTGTTGAATCCCATCCTATTCTCATCCGCCCACCCTTGTAACCTGTCTAGGTCTGATTGAAGCCTGTTGCTTCCTTCTAGTGTGCCCACATTCCCCCACATCTTAGTGTCATCAGCAAATTTGAACAGGGTGCTTTTTACCCCCTCGTCCAAATCACTGATGAAGATGTTGAACAGCGCGGGCCCGAGGACCGAGCCCTGCGGAACCCCACTGCCCATGTCCTTCCAGGTTGAGAAGGACCCATCCACCACCACCCTCTGGGTGCGGCCCTCCAGCCAGTTGGCGACCCATTTGACTGTGTGGGTGTCGACGCCACAGTCCCCCAGTTTCTTAATGATAACAGGGTGAGAGACAGTGTCGAAGGCCTTCCTAAAGTCCAGAAAGACCACATCCACTGCTATACCTGCGTCTAAGGATTTTGTGACCTGGTCATAGAAGGCCACCAGGTTGGTTTGACAGGACCTGCCTCTCATGAACCCATGTTGGCCTCCCCTGTTGGCCCCTCGCGGCCATGCGCCAAGATCATTCTATCAAAAAGCTTACCCAGAACCAAGGTAAGACTAACTGGCCTATAGTTTCCTGGGTCCTCTTTCCTCCCTTTTTGGAAAATGGGAACCACGTTGGTGCTTTTCCAGTACTCTGGTACCACGCCAGAGCACCATGAGTGCTCGTAAATCCATGCCAGGGGACCAGCAGTGACCTCTGCTAATTCTGTCAGCACTCTGGGGTGGAGATTGTGAGGACCAGCTGATTTAAATACGTCCAGTCCCTCCAGAAGTTCCCTGACTAGCTCCTCACTGACCCTAGGCCTGGGTGCACCTCCCCTGCGGCCTACGGGGGTCCTGGTGGGGGGGGTGACCCAGTCCCTGCTCAGAAGAACGGAAGCAAAGAAATTGTGAAATAGGTTAGCTTTGCTGTCTGGTGCAATGACCAGATTTCCTAGCGTGTCCTGCAGAGGCCCCAAGTTACCCGGTACCTTCTTTTTACCCACTACGTATTTAAAAAAGGACTTCTTGTTGTCCTTGACCCAGGTAGCTAGTCCCAGTCCCATCTCCACCTTGGCCTTCCTGACCGCCCCCCCTACAGCCCCGAGCAACCGAGGTGTAGTCCTTCCTGGTGATGGCCCCTCCCTTTCATTGAGTGTGCACCTCCTTTTTAGCTAGGAGACATTCCCATATGCTTTTGGTGAGCCATGGGGGCTTTTGCACCCTCTTGCCCCCTTTGATCCATGCTGGAATTACCTCCCTTTGGGCTTGGAGGATCGGCTCCTTAAGAAACAACCACTCTTCTTGGACACCCGACTCCCCTCCCCTCCGGGACCTCAGTGCCTCCCTGACTATTCTCCTAAAAAAAAGATGATGTAGGCATTTGTTTTAAAGGTGAGGAATAGATTCTTTATTTGATTAGTTTCAGGGAGTTGACAGAGAAAAACTAATGTAGGTGTCTGGAAAGGCAAAAAAGAGAAAATTACAGTCCTTTTATACAAGGTAATAAATAAATTGGTCAGTCTCAGTGATAAACTTCCATTTATTTGGGTTCTAAGGAAACACTGAAGTGGGTGTGAGGGTGTATCTTTATGAAGTAATTGAACAATGGAGTAGACTACCAGTGCGCATGGACGACAGGTAGGGGATGCACGTGCCCCCCTTGACAGGGCTTGTGCCCCCCCCTGACAGGGCTGCCGCCATCGGTGATTTCTGCGGGTGCCCCCCCAGATTCAGGTGGCACCAGTCACTCATGCCAGTGTGATTATATCTAGCTTATTCAAAAGCAATTTAACTAATTCATTCATGTAAATTGATAAAGCTTGCCACAGTCTTCAATACAACCATGACCATAGACAGGTAACTTAAGGTATAGCAACTACACAAACAAGTTACCATGAGACAAGCTAGCATGTGTATTTACAGCACTTCAGCCACTCTGTAGTTAGAGACCCACAGAAATCATGATTTTGCAGATTTCATGGAAATCACAAAATGCGGTATTGC